GATAGACTAGGAAGAAAGAGTGATGAACTACTTCCGAATATTTTTTCACTGAAAACCATATGAATAGCAGAGAAACAGTGTCATATATAGTGCTGGAAAATGAGCCCCTCAGGTTGGAAGGCAATCAAAATGAGACTGGGGAAAAGCTGCCTCCCCAAAGTAGAGTTGGTCATGATGATGGGAATGGAGTAAAGCCCATGGGAGTAAAGCCTGCGGGACCTTCATTTGCTGGTGGTGAACAACTCAAAATTAAGTGAAACAGCTGTAAGCATCCATTAATCATCGGAGCATGGAATGTATGAATTATGAACCTAGGAAAAATTTAAAATTGTCAAAAATGAAATGGAATGCATAAACATCGATATCTTGGGTATTAGTGAGCTGAAATCGACTGGTATTGGCCATTTTGAATCTGATAACTACATGGTTTACTATGCTGACAATGACAAATTGAAGAGGAATGGTGTTGCATTCATTGTCAAAAAGACCATATCCAGATCAGTCATAAGGTACAACACTGTCTGTGATAGGATGATATTCATGCACCTCCTCGGTAACCCTGTACAGGGTCGCTATGGGTCGGAACCTACTCGACGGCACTTAACAACAACAACAGGGAAGCCCAGTTATTAACATTATCATTAAAATTTATGCACCAACCACTAAAGCCAGTGAGGATGAAATAGAAGAATTCTATCAACTTCTTCGATCTGAAATTGATCAAACATGCAATCAAGATGTTTTGATCATTACTGGTGATTGGAATGCAAAGATTGGGAGCAAAGAGTAAGGATCAGTAGTTGGAAAATATGGCCTTGGTGATAGAAATGATGTTGGAGATCCCATGATAGAATTCTGCCAAATCAATTTTGTTCATTTCAAATACCTTCTTTAGACAGCATAAGAGACGATTATATACATGGATCTCACCAAATGGAGCTCTAGTAGTGTAGTGATTACGAATCAGGCTGCTAATCTCAAGGTCAGCAGTTTGAAACTACCAGCTGTACTGCAGAAGGAAGATGAGGATTTCTGCTCCCGTAAAGATTTACAGCCTCAGAAACCCTGTACAGGGTCATTATGAGTCGGAACTGACTCCACGGCACATAACAACAACAACAACAACAACACCAGATGGAATATACAGAAATCAAATTGACTACATCTGTAGAAACAGATGATGGAAAAGCTCTATATATCCTTAGTCAAAACAAGGCCAGGGGCAGATTGTGGAAGAGACCATCAATTGTTCATATGCAAATTCAAACTGAAGCTGAAGAAAATGAAAGACATACACAGAGTCAACGTACCAAAAAGTATTGGTTGATACTTAACCATATCAGGAGATAGCATATGACCCAGAATAGATGATACTGAAGGAAGAAATCCAAGGTACACTGAAGGCATTAGTGCAGTGAAGGCACCAGGAATTGACTCGATACCAATTGAAATGTGTCAAAAAATTGATACAGCATTGGAAGTACTCACAAGTCTATGCCAAGAAGTTAGAAGACAGTTATCTGTTCAACTGATGGACGAGGTCTATATTTGTGCCCAATCCAAAGAAAGGTGACACAACAGAATGCAGAAAATATTGAACAATATCATTACTATCACATACAAATAAAAATTTTGCTGGAGGTAATAAAAAATGGTTGCAACAGTACATTGACAGAGCACTGCCAGAAATTCAAGCCAGATTGGACTCAGGGTTATCATTGCTGACTTCCAATGGATCTTGACTGAAAGAAGAGAATACCAGAAAGATGTTTACCTGTGTATAATTAACTGTGCAAAGACCTTTGATTCTGTGGATCATAATAAACTATGAATGCCATTGCTAAGAAAGGAAATTTCAGAACATTTTATTATACTCAATGTGGAACCTGTACATAGAACAAGAGGCAGTTGTTCAAACAGACAAGGAGATACTGAGTGGCTTAAAATCAGGAGAGGTGTAAGTCAGGATGGTAATCTTCTACCAGACTTTTTCAATCTGCATGTTGAACAAATAATTTGAGAAACTGAATTATGTGAAGAATGTGGCATCAAAATGAAATAAATGCTTATTAACAACTTGCAATATGCAAACTATACAACTTTGCCTGATGAAAGTGAAGAGGAGTTGAGGCATTTACTGATGAAGACGAAAGAATGCAGCCTTCAACATGAGTTACAAGCAGTGTAAAGAAGACAGAAATCTTCACAACTGGACCAATGAGCAACATCATGACACACAGAGATTGAAGTTGTCAAGAATTTCATTTTACTTAGATCCACAATCAATGCTCAGGGAAGCAGCAGTCAAGGAATAAATTATTTGTCGCACTGGGAAAATTTGTTGTAAAAACCTCTTTAAAGGGTTCAGAGCAAAGATGTTACTTTGAGGACTGAGGTGATTTGACTCAAGCTTTGGTATTTAAAATTTTCTGATGTACATGTGAAAGCTGGATAATGAATATGGAAGACCTAAGAAGAATTGGTGAATTTGAATTATGGTATTAATGAAAAATATTGAAATGACCACAGATTCCCAGAAGAGCAAACAAATCTGTCTTGGAAGAAGTCCAGCTGGAATGCTCCTTTGAATACTGGATGATAAGACTTTGTCTCACATATTTGGACATGCTATTAGGAGATAGCCATCCCTGGAAAAGGACATAATACTTAATAAAGAAGAGACAGGGTCATTGAAAAAGAGAAAGACCCCCAAAGAGATGCGCTGACAAAATGGTGGTAACAATGGGCTCAAACATAACAACAATTGTGAGAATGGCACAGAACTGGACAGTGGTTTGTTCTATTGTGTGTGCAGAGGGTATCTATGTGTCCAAGCTGTCCCAACAACACCTAACAATAACAAAATGCTCAATTATCCAACAGAAGCTCATTCCTCACTTCTAATCCATCCTTCTGTGACCTCAACCAAAGAGTAACCAATCAAATAACGATATTTTAATGTCTTCATTCTCTGCACTGTGTCTGCTTTTGTTCAAAGTTCTTTAGTTGGAATCACCAATTCTCACTTATGTGGGCTGTTGTTTCCTTGCATTCAAATGTATCTTTTTCTTTTTTTCCATGTTCATGAATGAATCGTCTTATTCTCATTTTAAGGACTGTGTGTGTGTGTTTTCCTACTAGATTGATCTCCAATTGCCTACACTAATAACTTACTTGACAAAACACACTTTATTGAGTTCCTTCCCATCCCAGACTCATTTACCCACCCCTTAACAATGCTTTCTAGGATTACTTCTCAAAAAACAACAAAAAAAGACTACTTGCAATTGAATCTTTGTCTCAGAATCTGCTTAGGAGAACCCAAAGGAAGACAATCACTAAAAGGGGACTTGTCTTGTACAATGAGCAGCTAAGCAGTGTCCATGGAACCTGGAATTCAAGCAGTGAAATTTGAACTAACAAATATTTCCTTCTGGAGTAATTTTCTCTGTGGTAAAAATTTCTTACACACAAATTACTAACAGTTTGACAAGACTACGTGAAAGTGTAGTCTTTGGAAAGAAAATGATCCAAATTCTTATATATAGAAAGAAAAAGTCATTTAAACTAGAAAATTTGTCCACTAATGGATTACTTACTTACATGTTAGGGAAAAAGACCTCAGATTGAAATATATTCCATAAAGACCTTCATATTAAGCCTTTAAAAGAACAAAGACAAAAAGAAAATCATCTGGATCAGGGAAAACTGTCATCATGTAACTAGTTGGTTTGATTCTCAACATTTTATAAGCAAGTACTGTTAGATATTAGACTCTAATACACTTAACAAATGAATCTCAGCATAAATTTCCTTTTCCACTTAGAACTTATATCTATCCCAAATGTTATGCCCTTGCAATGATTGTCAAATAGTGCAAATAAAAGTAGCACAATTTCAACAGAAAATCAGGAAATTTGCAAAAGATGCAGCATTTCATGAAATCATTAAAAGGAAGTTGAAGACCTGCTGGAATTAATGTAAAGTCATGGACAAATGAGGACCCAGCAGAATGAGAAGAGGTAACAACTGAAGATGATACAGTGGGCAAGGATGATGACCCAGGTTAAAATCTTTCCAATAGAATGATCTCAATATCAAAGAACTAAGGGAAGCTCTTGGAAAAATTGGTGATGCCTTTAAAAAAATGTGTATGCAAAAATGATGCTCTTTATGAACATACAGTGAAAGTGGAACATGAAAGACTAGGTATTGTATTGCTAAGGAACATATAAGGAGCTCTGGTAGCATAGTGGTTACGAAACGGGCTGCTAACTTCAGGGTCAACTGTTCGAAACTACCAGCTGTTCCATGGGAGAAAGATGAGGCTTTCTGCTCCATAAAGATTTACAGATTTACAGCCTGGGAAACCCTGTACAGGGTCGCTATGAGTCAGAACCAACTCCACGACACATAACCACCACCACCACCAAGGAATATTTATTTTTAGGGAAAAAAATTCAGTCCAGAATGTTCCATTTATATTATGAGTGAAAGAACTGCATTTAGATTTGTTCTTCCACTAATTTCAAAGTCTGAGATTGTACCCTTTAAGACATGATAATATCTGCTTAGTTTAGTAAGTTGAGACAGGAAAGAATCTTATCTCTTGCCTTTACACACAGAGTGTGCTTTGGTTGAGAATCACTTAAACACTTATCTGAGAACATTTGTTGCCTTTTCTAATTTACAGATATGTTTCCCAGAATTATAGTTCCAAACAGTCCCAGCTGGCATTAAATAAGGCCTATGATAAAATGCATCTGGCTTCAAGACATAGGCTAAGTACAAGGACAGACTCTTCATGTCCCTGGAGATTCTGGCTGGAGCAAGAACCAAGTCACAGGACCACTTGCTCTATATATGAATGCCAAGTTAATCCACAGCAGGGAGAAGCAGAGGGAAGCTGACAGCCAGATATTTCCTGTTGTTGAAAAATTCACTCAGTGCCTACAGTAGAAAAATTTCTCCTCTTTTCTGCCCTGAATGTTTTCCCAAACATGAAGGTAAGATATTAATTTAATTACTTTTGTAAATGAAGTTGCCTCAAAAGACAGTAATCCTAACTGAAAGATATCAGATAAGGAGAGAGTCATGAGAAATAGGTAGGAAAATAATTTGGGGTGATTTGAAAAAACAACAACAACAACCCTATTTAAGTACAGGTTGATGGAATGAAGCTAGAGGTTTACCAACTAGGCATGTTGGCCATGCAAAATGGCCAAAGCTAAAAAACAACAATGATATCCCCTTACTATTCAATCAAAGACAAATAACCCTCATATATTGGATTTCTGGTCTGCAAAGTAAGTTGAAATTATTATTGCAGTTTTATTATTATAAATTTTGCTATTTATACTTAACCAATTCTGAATTATATTGCCTGAATAATTTCTCAGCACTGTCAGCTGTTAGGTTGCTCTTATAATTACTGTATTGTCTATTTGCAATACCGAATCTACACTCACTTTCCATTGAGATTGGCTGAGAGGTGAGATATGGGTTTTGAATAGCTCATGTCTAATGTGGAACTAAATAACTGAAAATTACACACAATTTATAAATCTAATTTGTTTAATGTTATAAGAATAGCAAGTAATGCTTCAAAGTTAGGATTATGATAATATCTTATTTCTAATCCTCTACCTTGTATTTTTATTTAAAATGAGGGGAGTTTTTTTTTAAGCAAAACGAATCTAAAATTCTTTCTAAAGTTATTGACTCTCCTAATAGTTGTATTAACTGTCAATCTGTTTCTTTCTTTTACAATTAAACATTTTAATAATGGCTTTGTGTTTTAAAATAAGCATCACAATAATTGATTATTATGTTATTTTACTGCTACCATAATAAATATACTTTTTATCTTTCAATCGATGATATAATATCTACAAAAAAAGCAATTTTTTTCTCTCCAAGTTGTAGGCAGAATTGTTATCTATATTTAAAGTAGCTATCTCTAGTTTTATAATAAATCTAAGGATCTGCTTCAGAAAAGGGAAACTTGGGAATGCTTTGGCTATTCTATCCTAAAACTGAGTTCCTGGGTGGCGCAAATGATTAATACGCTCAGCAGCTAACTGAACGATAGGTGGTTCGAGTCCTTCAGAGGTGCCTTGGAAGAAAGACCTGGCAGGCTACTTAAAAAAATTAATCACTGAAAACCTTATGGAACACAGTTCTACTCTGACCTCATACAAATGAGGTCACCATGAGTTGGGGTCTCCATGAGACAGGGGCAACTCAATGGTAACTGGTTTTTAATCCTGAAATCAATGGTAGGTTCTAACCCTACTGGAATTTTAAGGAGTGAAGTTGGAAATGTTGGTAGAATTCTTTTGCCTTCACATCCATGTGAACTAAATAAGAGAGCTGGTCCTAGAATCTCTTTGGTTATCTCTGCATTCCTTGTGTAGGAGATGACTTGCTTCTGTGGTGTTCCAGAAGAGCTTTGGAACAAAAGAGATTTGCTTTCCTCAGAGCTGGCTGTGGCCCAGCTGAACCTGGGTTGTATGGTGCAGGACACCATTCTCTCAAGGGGGCAGGAATGTGGCCAGGTACAGTGACCTCGAAGATTGGGGTCTGTATGTTTCCATGCCATATCTAAAACTGTAGTGATATTTTCAGCTGTCTTTTACAAATTATACTGTGATGGCATTTGTGCCTTTAAGCCTATTTTCTTTTTCTGATATAATGCTATCTTTGTTGCAAAAATAAGTTTAAATTTTAAAGAAGACAATACTATTTGTTATTTCTCTAAAAAGAAATAAAAATCGCTAATGTTTTAATCTATTCTTTTCCAGACCTTTATGTGAATATGTAAATGACACATTTTATTAAATTGCTATCAAACTGTACTTGCATGTCTTTATTATGACATAAGCAAGTTCTCTGGCTGTTGACTGCCCTATAAAAACATGCTAATGATGGCTGTTAATACTCTATTGCATTACTGTGCTGTTTCACATTTCTTTATCTGGTGTGGCATTGTAGGATTAGCACTGGACTGTGAACCACAAGGTTGGCAGCTCAAACTCACTATCTGCTCCTTGAAAATCCTTTATTGGGTCACTGTGAGTCAAAATTGGCTCGATGGCACTTAACAAAAAAGCAAAACAACAAGGACTTGTTAGTGGATATTTATTTCTAATAAAGATGCAAGTTATTTTGAAATCTTCCTTTTTATTGATCTATATTAGTGCCCTATAGTTTGAATTTATTGATCAATGTATTACTTTGGACAAACTGATGAATTAGATTTGATATGCTATATGGTTTTTGAAAATTGTGCTTATTTTTTTTTTTAATTTATTAAAAATGAACTCATAGTTCAACAAACAACATAGATGACCATATTTGAGGCTTTGGGAGAATGATGAATAGAGGTGAGGCAGTAGATGGAACACATTATAGTAAGGAAGTAGAAGGCAATGCTTATTCTTGATAAGGAAGAAAGGGAAAGAATTCTGGGCAACATAGTCTCAGCTTAGTTAAATGGATACAGAGCAAATTATCTTATATTCTCCATAAAGTAATTCTTTTTATTGAATCAGCTTGGATGTTTGTTTATTTCTGTCATTCTTTGTCATACTGTAGTGGGTTGAGATGTTGGAAACTATGTCACTGGAATTTTAAATACCAGTAGGGTTACCCATGGGGGATAGGTTTCAGAGGAATATCCAGACTAAGACAGACTAGGAAGAAGGAGAGTCAGTCCACTTCGGAATGGCTAGCCATTGAAAACCTTACAAACAGCAGTGGGACATTGTCAGATACAGTGACAGAAGTTGAGTCCCTCAGATTAGAAGGTACTCATCTCAGGTTAGAAGAGCTGCTTCCTCAAAGTAGAGTTGACCTTAATGATGTTAATGGAAAAAAGCTTTTGAGATCTTCATTTGCTTATGGAGCTCAGTTCAAAATGGAAAGAAAATGCTGCAAACACCCATGGAATGCATGAAGTATGAATCTAGGAGAACTGGAAGCCATGAAAAATTAAATGGGAAGCATAAAGATCAATATCCTAGACATTAGTGAGCTGAAATGGACTGGTATTTACCATTTGGAATCGGACAATCATGTGGTTTATTATGCCAAGAATGATAAATTGAAGAGGAATGGTGTCATATTCATTGTCAAAAAGAGCATTACAAGATGTACCTTGAAGTACAATGTTGTCTGTGATAGGATATATTCATATGCTTACAAGGAAGATCAGTTAATGCCACTATTATTTAAATTTAAGCACCAACCACTAAAGTCAGTGATTATGAAATTGAAGAATTCGACTAACTTCTTGAAGAATTCTACTAACAACTTAAAATGAAGAGAAACAGCTGTAAACATCCATTGAAAATTGGAACATGGAATGTACGAAGTATGAATTTTGGAAAATTGGAAGTGGTCAAAAATGAAATGGAACGCATAAACATCGATATCTTAGGCATTAGTGAGTGAAAATGGACTGGTATTGGCCATTTTGAATCTG